TATGAGTTAGAAAACAGTTGTCATATTTATATTTTTAATATGAAACTCTCAAATCAAACTTTTAAGTTATTGTACAGAATCAAACCTCTAAGACCAAGCAATCAAAAATGCCATCTTAGATAAAATCATCAGAACTGAAATTGTTTCCTTGTTATTGCATAAAATCCAAAGCAGAAGGGACATTATAAACCGATATCCTCTCTCCCATTTAAAAGTCATTGTGACAATTCTCTAGGTATTATAGCCAATTGCAATGACTGATTTTTTTCTAAATAGGTAACTTTTTTCTCAAATACCTACCTGAAATAAATGCGTAGGCATCGTAATCATACATGTAGCAAAAGCCGATCTCATTAAGACTCTAAGGGCCAATAAAAATCTGGGCAGTGAATAATCAATGTCCTCCAGGTTAGCAGCCAGTCCCCCACACTCATCCCACTGTGGAGACCCCAAGGAATGTATACCTATAAGCAAATACATACATTCAAAATCCCCATATCATTCATTACTGGATTTCTATACTGTTTTATTTTTCCTGCAGTTTTTACATTCACTGCATTTTCAAAATGATATAAAAATAAAATAATATGAGTGAAATGAAGTCCAAGTACCCTATTTATTAACTTGAGTATATTTCATTTACCAATTTGCAATATATTTCTTTTATCTGTCTGTTCAGTTGTACTAAAGTGTCCTTTGTCAATCTCGTCTTTGATTCTTTTCAGTAAGTATTTGTATTTTGGGTTCAGATCTTCACATTCTTTACAGCCTCTAAATGTAACAAAAAGTGGCTTTGCTATAACAATGCTATGAAAGAAGTGAAACATTTAAAATCTATCTTTAACCTACACAGTATAATCAACTTTGGGTTCTAAATAACTCACAAAGGCTCAAAACAAGAGACCCAAGAGCCACAACACTACTGCATTAAGAATATGACCCCATCCTACTCCTGGGGACCATGATTTGAACAATTTGGAATCAACACTACCCCAGGATGCTTCCAAATAAGTTTCATTTTTTCTGGCCCAGTGGTTTTTTAGGAGAATAGTTTTTTCCTATATACTTCAATGTCAAACTTGGATTCCCTATTGTGGCCAAATCCTACCCCCAGGGGTCATGACTTGAACAATTTAGAATCTACACAACCCCAAAATGCTTCCACATACACGTACTTGTAAGTTTCATCTTTTCTGGCCCAGTGGTTCTTGAGAAGAAGATTTTTTAATAACCCCACCTTTTTTGTCTTTTCTTAATCATCTCCCCTTGTAAAGGGGCTTGGCTCTTCATTTTTACAATTAATATTCCCCTTTTACCCAATCATACCTTGTACCATAGATCATTGGGAAATCCTTTATTTGTACTAAAAGATCTCTTAAACTAAAGCACCACATAAAGTATCATTTATAGCACTTCATACAGGATGTACATGTACAAAGTTTTAAACAAAAGAGCTTGCCTCTTACTTTTTTAAGTATTCATTTACATGCGCTTGCTTACATTTCAAAGTCCTCTGATCCAATAAGTGTTGGATTTATGGCTGAGGTCAGTTGAGGGTCCATCACTTTGGTCAAGTCATAATAATGGCCAAATTTAGAGCTGGAGTGAATGGCCTATAGAAAACAAGAATTATACTTCATAAAGAATAACAATTGATGTTACACATCAATTGTTATTTTTTAAAGTTTACTAGGTCAAAATTTCAACAAAGTGGCATAAGAAGTTTAAAAAGGAATCGATCTGTACATAGCAATTCTAAATTCTGCTGAACTCTTCATACTTTGCCATAACAGTGCTGTAATTTATATACAGTGAAATATTGTTTAAGTTGAGGGGACCTGGACACGAAGTGAGATAAAATGTAAATAACAAAGTTATCTTCCAGAGTCGATTCAATAATTTTCCGTTTTTTCTTAAACATCTTCATGCATAACACTATCCTGTATTACCAAACATGTAGTCTTTATGGTAAACATTAAAGCATATTCGCAATAAATATTAAGAAAAAAAAATGCTGGTGCTTTCCTTATGGTATATAATTGTAAAACAATTAAATATACATGCCTTATTGCACATACAGCTATTTTACATTTTCCAGGACATGCTTACATGGTCAAACGGGATGTATCATTAGCGTTATAGTTGAAGAACTTCTCCATAAGAAAAGAAAAAGACGAATTTTTTAAAACTTTATTTGATGAAATTTAGTGCAAATTGTTATTTATGAAGTACTATTAATTAAGGAACATATAGTGCACGAAACTAACAATGCAAATGGCGGTCAAGGTTATCTATTTATACGCAGATAACATGGATGTAATCAACACTGTGCAAATACGCACTGCAACTTAACTGTTTAAGTTTATATTGAAAAATCTTTTGTGTTTTATGAATTTACGATTTTAATTATACAGAGCATATTATTAAATGCAATATCGGTAATACTCTCTGTATTTAATTTCTGAATTGCTGCAAGTGGTTTTATCGGTCGTAGACTACACCAACACCCAAACTGTCATACCAATTACCGTGTCACAGATACTCAACATGAGCTTGGGATTAATTAAGATTCCCCCGGTTTGAAGGTGTTAATGAATAGCCACTGGCGAGAAAGTGTGAAGTCACGATGCCAGGTGTGTTCAGTAGACCGAAAAATTCACTGCACTTCGAGATAAGGCAGGAAAAAGTAGGGCTTGGGACTTTGAATATACTTCGACATAAGCGTGGTACCGGGGTATTTGAGATTACCGTGTTCGAGATAACAGGTGTTTTTTAAATCATATATATAGAGAAAATTCTACATCAAATTCGAGATATCCCATGTTCGAGATACTGATATTTACATGTATGTCAATATTATTAAATTGGACACTTCAAAGTGATTAAAATGTAAACAATGCTTTAATGCATAAATTTAATTATCAGCCTCGTGCCAAAGGCTGGTAAAATTACTGTCAGACATGTGAAAATTTAAATTTCATGTAGAAAGCAAAATGGGTTTGAGATACATATTGCCTTTTAACCACATGGATTTTATGTCAAATTAAGAACTGCAAAACAAATAGAATACACTATTTGCAAGTGTTCAAATAATCATACTGATAAAGACTTTTCGAATGTATGAAGTTCAGATGAATTATTTGTTAATGTGGGTTGCTTATTTCCACAATTAAACTATGAGCCCAACATGCAAGAAGTGTGGCATTACATGTAATGTACAGTAAAACTCGGTTATAAAGAAGTCACGGGGACTAATAAAATTACTTCGCTATATCCGTAATTCGTTATATCCGTGTAAGGAATTTGTTAAATTTATATAGCTGGGGATCTAAGATAACTTCGCTATATCCATGAATTCACTATATCCCTGTTCGTACTAAACGAGTTTTGCTGTACATGTATTGAATATGGATAAATTACAGTCACAGTGGATGAATTTGCACCTGATTGGCAGGTAGATGCTGGTATCTCCAAGCTATTTTCATGTTCTCTGTCTGCTCAGGTAAGTTTCCTTGTGCTTTATCTCCTGGGTCATCTAATATTGGAGCAGGAAGTTCCTAATGTTACAAATTTCAAATTAAGAAATACTAAATACAAATTAAAATGAATAAATATTGAATAGATAAGTTGAATTTCTTAAATTTATAAACAGAACAAATACAGTTAAATACTGTATACTAGATAATTAAGTGTAAATAATTACCAGGTATAACAAAGGTTAAACTATTTTGTGTGAATTCTAAATTCAAGATGCAAGTATAGTGAACATGTTCAATATATATATGTTACATGTACAAATTATATTTTTCAAAAGCAAAAAATTTAGAACTGAAATGCAAATTTACAAATGACTAACAATTGTTAATTTTTAATTAAAAATAATTAAATTCAAAATGTTTATTTGAAATTATTATTAATACAACTTTACATTGATATTTTCTTCTATATACAAACTGTCGTAACCTTTATTATTTGAGCTGGATCCTGATCAGCACTGGTTAATAACAAGGAGTGACCTGTCATTACCGCCTCAGCAGAAAAGTACTTCAACAGCAGGCGAGCATAACTGCCATATGTGTCTTCCTCTGCAATATACATTGAAAATGGTATCAAAATATAAGTAAAACATTGGTTCAAATTCTTTTTCCTTAGCAAGACAATTAAGATGAATCATGTCTAATGTCCAGTCTGAATGATTTTATTGTCAGAAATCAGGTACAGTGGGGTTTTTTTTTCAGAGATCCAGAAAACTCCCAAAGAAAATGGTTCATTGGACAAGTATGTTTACAGTGTACTGTTGTTCCGTACGGAATTATATAATGAATATATGTGTACCCCTAGATCATAACATTTAAAAAAAATCATTTTAAAACATACCAATCAAACAAACTGTTCCAACAGCGAGCCCTCCTCCTGAAAAATGGTCGTAATAATATTATTTTTTTTCAAATAAAACTTGGTGGAACAAACAATTATAAGAATGTCATGCATTACCAAATCATTGCAAAATGAAATAGTTTCCCAGTGATTTGACGATTGTAAGAAAAAAGATTTTCTTCCTTACCTATTATGTTATCCAGGGATGGTACACCTGAAGATATAAGTAACTGGTTGTTAAATAAAGATGGTTTAGTTCCAGGTATTTGATTTAATTTAACTCGTGCCTTTTTCTGGAAACTCGTCATGCTCGTAGTGGCCATGCTTTTCTCAAAATGAAAATAGACCTAACCGATAATATTACGATTGCAATAATATTTATTTGGCTATTGTACATATGAAAAGGAGTGAAATTTCTATATCTTAGCAGAAGTTTTAAAACACCATCTTTGTCACATTCTTACACGGGTGTAACATATCTTAATATAAAACAATATGAATATTGCAACACGTATGATCTCCAATATTTATCGCCTATACGCAAGCTCTTTAGCTTGGTGAGGTGAAAAAGTTATTTGACGAAACTTCGGAAAACTCAAAACTGAGGTAAAAAAAATCCTGCGTGCAGAAGCTTTAAGATCCAACTTGATACAAAATTTTATCAGTTATTTCTTCTGAATATCGTTTTGGTTCATTTTTGGGCATTTTTCTCTAATTTATATTTTTCTTTCTTGAACACTTTACTTGGGCTATATGCAGACGACACTTCCCCGCGAAAACTTGCCCTGCAGACGACGTTTTGTAAACAAGAAGCTGGATGACCAAAGAGCCGATGTTTAAGCACCACAGATGAAACGGTAAAGATATAAGAATATAATTTTTGTATTATATACATATAAATCATACCTTTTTAGGAACTAGTTTAATTTTTTACCTTATTCTGTCAACATTAAGCTTCAAATGTTTACATTGTTGACCCGTTTTAATAGGCCAATGTAGATCTACTTCGACAAAGTTTTTTTTGTTTTGTTTTGTTTTTTTTGTTTTTTTTGAATAAATAAATGTAGCTCTATAGATACACAGACATAATCTTTTATGGTTTATTTCTAGACTGAGATCATCTGTTATGGACATAAAGGCATTTCTGCAGTGCAAGAAACTCCGACGCTCCCACAGACTGGAAGCAAAAGAAAAACCTGAAATTAAGTCAGAAACAATGTGTTCGGGTTCATTAGGGCATTTTGTTGTTCTTCCTTTAGAGCTGAAGTTTCTTATTTTAAGATACCTCACAGGTAACACAAAAGTACAACAATATTAATTCTCAAAATTCCTTATTTAAGATGCAATGGTAAAACTTGGCAAATTTTATTTTAAATTTTCTTTTTCTAGTGGAAGATTTAAGTATTTTGACAATTACATCAAAAGCAATGAGAAACCTGATAGAAGGATACAGGGTCCTTATGCCACTAATTCCAAATGTACTTCTGCAAAAGCTTCATGTTTCCAAAAGTGCACAAGTTTCTCCTCAAGAACAACAGAAAACTTACCTGGAAATATTCCACAGACTAGGTAAGACCTACTATAAATCACTTTTTATTTTTGAGAACTTAATTTATTTTCGAATAATAATAATATGCGACTTCTTCTACTTGCTAAAATTTCATTCTCGCGTACTAATATATATTTGTATTATTAAAGATTATATACAATACATTAAGAGAAACCACAGCTCGCATAAAGAAGTCGGTTCACTTTATGCATAAAATGGCCCTGTAGATATACCAATTAATTGATCAACACCTTAATTTTCTATTTGAAGCATTAAAATAAAATAGAGACTTGGTGCTTTTATATCCTATTAATAAAATTCTCCTCAAAGTCCAGGTCTTGGCAAACTGGCTTTATGAAATTGCAATGTTCTTGAATTTTTAGATAAACAGGTATAATTGAGTACTTTCAGTGAAGAAAAATAATATGAGCGCAACCTTTGATCTAAGAAATAAAATTTATTCAGAAACAGTTCTATCATTTACTAGTTGCATATTTTAGATCAGAGGTTGCCTGTATATCAAATATCAAAAAATAACTTTAAAAATTGCGTTTTTGTATGACTTTAAGGAAATTGACGCATTGACGTCATAATGCATTGACTAGCCAGAAAATGGAATTTTTTTTCACAGTCACCAAAGGTTTGATATTTTAATGCATTGTTAAAACTACAATTGAAATTCACAGGGCCAAATAAGGCAAAAGTGAACTTTGTTCTTTTGTCTTGCTAATAAATACCTAATGGTTAATTGCGAAAATAAAATGTCTCAAAAATAAAGTGATCTACAGTGTACATTACGCAATTCTTCTATTTTTTTTTTTTCAAAATATATGCTAATCCCAATCTTTCTTGATAATTTATTACATTTTCTTTCTTTTCTTTCTTAGGTCTCCTTACCAAAAGGTCAACTTGCTTGTATGCAACAAGAGATAGACTCAAGTTTGTCAATGGAATTTTGACAAAGGTTTGTTTTAAGTAAAATATCTATAATACCAGGCAGCACACGTATTTTAATTACTGGTTCATTCGACTTTACAGTTGTAATATGTATCCAATTTAATAAAATCTATGGAATACTCTGTAGAAAATTTGTAATTGAGAACCTAACTATTTAATGCATTTAATTTTTAAAAATTACATAAAAAATAAACTAATTTAAAATATTTTTTTAATTAATAGATGATGTGCAATAATGCTGACTGTGATAACTTGTCCCAGTGCTTGTCTTTGACTTGCTTTGGGAAATTCCTCCACACTGTGATAGCTGGGTGGGATGATTCAGAATGTCAGAGAACTTATGATGCAATCATTCACCACACATGTCTTCTGAAGAATGTCAAACTTGTTATGAGCTCCAAACCAGGTACATGTACTTGCATAATTTCCCCCATGCCATTAATATTTATGGTGTGTGTATATGCATTAGAAAAAGATGTGGACAGTATATATAATAATGATTTATTTCCAATTATCCCTGTATTGTCATAATGAATGGGATAGTCTCTTTGAAACTGCATTCAAACAGCACAGAAATTAATTTACTGGAAAAAATTATGTGGGCCTGACATCTGACAAAAGCGTCTTCTTAAATCTAGAAATACAGTGTCGAAAATTAATATGAAGCAATCAATAGTGAATATATTTTTGAATAAGAATAATGTACCAAAAGTTTTAAATTATGAAAATATAATCTGTTTTAAAAATGATAGCTTTGGCCATTTTTTGTAAATTAATACACAATAACTACCGGCCACTGATCATAATTTAGACATTTTGAAATCTACACTACCCCATGATCCTTCCATGTGCACATAAGTTTACATTTGGCCCAGTGGTGAGAAGAAGATTTTCAAAGATTTTTCCTATATATTTCTATGTTAAACTTTGATTCCCCATTTTTCCCCCGGGGGTCATGATTTGAATAAAGAACTTCCACCTAAGTTTCGCTTTACTGGCCCAGTGGTTCTTGAGAAGAAGTACAATTTTTGCTAAATTGTCTTGCACATATATACAATTTAAAAAGGAGAACAAGTTTGGTCAAAATTGGCGCTGAGAAGAAGTCAAATCTACACTAACAGACAAAAATCGGATTTCCGCTGACAAAATATCAGAAAAGTACATGCTAAATATAAAACATTTGGATATACAGTGTATCTTTGATTTTTGGCTGTTAAATTTCAGGTACCCATGCACAGATTGAGTGTGAGGTACGGATGTTCTTAAGGAGAGTGATACTGGACCACTGTCAGTCAGTAGTTGACAGAGCATTTTGGTTAGGAAGAATTCTCAAACCTTGGCCAATGGTCCATCAAGCCAGAATTTTATTCATGTTGTATGGCCCAGAATCCAATGGTAATATTTAAATCTGACTTTCTTTTAGGTTACAACTTAAACATTTTAAACAATTGTAGCATTAAATGTTCCAAATGTGAATTAGTTTGATCAATAATTATTATTTCTTATGAACATGTAAAAAAAATTATATCAACTTAATTCTGACAACCTAGTACCAATTTTCAGGAGAAATTCAGTGGTTTGAGTTCTGTGAGAACACACCTGCCAATCCTGAACAATCTGCCAAACATTTTGGAGAGCTGGCAAATGCTATACAGATTCTCTATGGTTACCGTCAGGAGTGGTCAGAAGATGACATCATCAGTGTCCTGGATGAGCTAACAAGTAAGATCACTGATGAATTAGTAATAAAGATCTGGCCAAAATAAAAAATAGTCTTGTTTCCTGCTACCCGACCTACCCTATTTTTTTGCACCCGACCCTAAAGTTTTTTTTTAGCTTTTACAAAATTTTGAAATTTATCAAAAGTGAAAAAATATATATATATTCAAGTTGTATTTCATGAAATATATGTTTAAAATGTCGTAAAATTCCTATGATACTCTCTCCTTAGCTATCACACAATTTGGTTTTGTAGTAGTTCATATCCAAAAAAATACTGTTGGGAAAAATAAAATAAAATTAAAAAATAAAATAATTTTCCTACCTACCTACCCTATTTTTTTCTGGCTGGTAGCAAGAAACAAGACTATTATTTTTTTTGGCCTCTTACTACTTTGTATAGTGATCAGTCTGTCAGTTCTATATACTCTCTCCCATCACACAGTTAAATGGGAATTATAACCGATATTGAAGTATCTTTGAGTAATTGAAACAAGTGCTGACAGAGACCTTTAGCTTACATTAGAGTAATCACACTGAATTTATAAACATAGTCCTTTTTTTCAAAATTAACCTGATTATATAGGTTCTCCAGATGAATGGCTAGCAGAGAATGTGGCACACATGCTGATCCTTTGTGGTGATGTCATTACCTCCAAAATGCTCATGAGCAAAGCCATCAATGGTAGAACTATAGAACTTTCCAGCATTACTACATCATTCTGTGTGGTGAGAATTCACTTTTCTTCAGAAAAAATCTCCAGACTTCCATAAAACTTTATTAAATATATCAAGAATATAGAAAATTCATGAAGTTTTTCTCTTGTTGGGACAGGTCTGTGTAAAGAACAGTTTCAGTTTATCCTACGTGCTTGGTATGATACAAAACATCATTGGAGCCATGGATAAGCCAAAAGACAGACTGCAGTACTTCAACAGTTTGATGGATATGTTTCGAGAACTTATCTTAGACATACATGAATTTTCTGATCAAGGTAAACATAATACATGTACATGATAAATGCTCTGACAGTATATCGTAGTTGCTTTAATGATTGAATCTTTTCTGAAAATTCTCCACAATTTCTTTGAAATTGCTCAACCAATTTCAGGTAATATTACATCCTTTGCAAAAACTTTCAAAAAACTTTTTACACCTTAATTGACATTAATAAGGTGATACATTAATTGTTTACTACTTTAGAATTTCATAATACTGAATCATTTTTATGATGGCCTAACTATACATGTTAATTCTTTTCGTATGAACCTTAAATGTTGTTTTCCTAATTGTTGAGAGAGTCTCGCCTATAAAATATGGAAAATGTTCCAACACTTCTTCAAATTTTTGTGATCTTAAGACAAACCAGTCATTTTTAGGTTCATCAAATTTATGCCCATCTTTCGATTTGGGGTTTGAATAAAGAAATATCAATATTCAAGTATTCAAATTGCATGGAAGTAATCTCAAAAATTCTGAAATGTCCCATTATTGCTTTTTTTTGTTTTAGAGGATGGTCATGAAAATGACATGTACTTCATGGTTACAGCTTTATCTGAATTCACCAAAAAATTGGTCATCTTGGCTTTCAAGAACATGCTGACTATCTGATGTGCCCAAGATTGTGTAATATCAAGGGAAAACTGGCTGTGCTTCATATTTGTGATACCCTTTTATCTACTGAACAATGGGCATCAATTGATTTTTTTATCATTATGGAAGGACAACATATTAAAAGACTTTGAAAAAATATCAGACCCAGTAAAACAGTAATGGAAAGAAGTTAAAAGTATAACTGTTTTCATGACTGTTAACTTATTTGTTAAGCATATTATGTATTATGTTGTTACATATATTAGTATCTGTGATCCAACCTACGCTATGACTCATTATGTTATGCGATTAAAGAAGTTTCCCATCTTTTAATATATTTTTGACTATTTAATACATACATGTATTTGTCTAGTGACCTTAATACATGTATTGCTATAGTGACCTTCAGCTTGTCCAAATAATCTTTGGTCAAGCTGGTTTTGCAGTATAAGGCCCAATGTTCTTTTATTATAAAATTAAGGCCCAGAAATAGTTCACAGTTGGACAGATAAACAGACTGACTACCGTATACCCAAAGTGTTGTTTTAAATGTCAATTTGTACACATATTGATAATTAAAAATTATCAAACTTGGCTGAAACTTTTCAAACATTTGAAAGTTTTTTGACATCCAAATGTTAGGTAATCATGAATTCAGATAATTAAGCTGTACTTCTGTACATCAAAACAAAATCTTTCCACAAGAGATATTTATTGCACAAAGGCATAAGTTTATAACAAACAAATAGTAAAACTATCACTCTACTCACAGAGATATCACAGTTAATGAGCATTCACATTCAATCTATCATAAAGCTGAAGGTACACATAGTAACATGATGAAAATATAAAATTTCTCTTCATTTGTGCACTAATTGATGGAACAGTATCATATATGATAAATTGCAGGGTACACCCTACTGCACAAAGTATTTGTTTTTAGGTGATTCAACTTGATAAGATACGGCACAAAATTATAGACAACTGACTTAAAATCTTTTTGAATATTTTTTATAATGATTTTGGCAATCATTTTGTTACTCCAACTATAAAAAAATTAAAATAGCTGCAAGACTGATTAGATGAAAACAGAAAAAAATAAATTTGATTGCATCTCATTATGAGAGCTTTGTATAAAACACAGGCCCTGAATTCCATGATTCTATAGTGTAACGGTGGTGATATGAATGTAAACACATGTATAATAACCAGTATATGATATAAAAGACAACAGTGAGCACATTAAATACAAAATATTATACCTCCAGTTTAGTTGTGACACAAAAAATTAGAACTTGGTCTCTCATTGATTCACACTCTGTTTCAGTATAAAACAACACACATATAAATGCAATGGAGCATACATCTCATCCTCATTCAAAAAAAAAAAAAAAAACATCATTCACATTTTAATTTTAGAAAGTACACAAGGAAAGTTTTAAAAGAACAGCTGTAAATAATAAATATTCTTTTTAGACTATTGTATATACTAAAATTTGAGACAGTCATTATGAAAATCAGTAGAAGATGTGATCATTTTTTTATTACAAACAGAAACAGAGAACATTATTTGATGATTTTATTCACCAAGGAGAAAAAAATGTTACTTACAGTGATATTTTACTGAAATTTCTGTGAATTATTAAAAAATTTTGATTTCAATGCCTGATAATTTGGAAATCTTTGTAATATTAGTGAAACAAAAAATATTGATTAAGTTCACATTTTTCTTGGACAACCCTTGTAAATTGTTCTCAAGTTTGAACAAGACACTTTTAAAATCAAATTTCACAAGTTAATCTGATAAAAATTCAAAAGAAAAAGGTTGTTATTTTATAGTGAGGTAGGTTTAAAATGAGATCTGCAAACATTAATTGTGTAGTTACTGTTGCATATGATCAATAATATTTCTGCTGCAGGAACTGTATAGAATTTTTCCCCTTGTGCTACAAGATGCATGTACTGTATATTTTTTTTTCTGCAATATCCGCGAAAAAATATATGAAGACAAAGTGATCCTTGTTGAAGGTGAAAATTTTACTTGCGTAAAAAAAAAATGTTTAAAACAATGATATCTACCGGGAACAAATAAGAAAGGTGTGGAATATATGTATTTTTTTTAAACGCTATAAATATGTAATAAACAAAAGAGTTGAATTATGGGAATTTAGCAGACCATTTGGTTGATTAAATACATTCATCACAAGAAAATAATATGTAAAGTTAGGATCACCATTTATGCCACATGCACCAAAAATAAATATCTACACATGACACACTGAGAAATTTATATAATCTTTAGTACAAAGTGTATCTTAAAAAAAAAAGAATACCATAAATGAACACATCACGTCTAACAGAGAGTAAGAAGTTGATATAAATGAATAAAAATATGACTAGAGAGATTTTTTGAGTTAAAAAGGGGAAAACAACATTGATCTTGGAAAATTATACAAATTTAAAGACCATTAACTGAACTGGTCAGTTTAACACAAACAAAATGTCTATCATAAACACCCATCATCAATATAACAAACAAGAGGCCCAGGGGCCACAGCGCTCACCTGAGCACATCGGGCTTGAATTTACCCCCCCCCCTCCAGGCGTTCATCATTTGAACAAACTAGAATCTACACTACCTGAGGATGATTCCATATAAATATCACTAATCATAGCTTTGAAGTACTTGAAAAGAGGATTTTAAAAGGTTTCCCTATATATACCTAATATGTAAAACTTAGGTCGGCCATTTTGGCCCCACCCTAGCCCCGGGGGTCATGATTTGAACAAATTTGAATCTACACTACCTGAGGATGATTCCACATGAGTTTCATCTTTCCTGGCCCGGTGGTTCTGGAGAAGAAGATTTTTAAAGATTTTTCTTATATACATTGTATTCCTATGTAAAACTTGGGTCGGCCATTTTGGCCCCACCCTTGCCCCCAGGTCATGATTTGAATAAAGTTGAATCTACACTATCTGAGGATGATTCCACATGAGTTTCATCTTTCCTGGCCCAGTGGTTCTGGAGAAGAAGATTTTTAAAGATTTTTCTTATATATTCCTATGTAAAACTAGGGTCGGCCATTTTGGCCCCACCCTTGCCCCGGGAGTCATGATTTGAATAAACTTGAATCTACACTACCTGAGGATGATTCCACATGAGTTTCATCTTTCCTGGCCCAGTGGTTCTGGAGAAGAAGATTTTTAAAGATTTTTCCTATATATTCCTATGTAAAACTTGGGTCGGCCATTTTGGCCCCACCCTTGCCCCGGGGGTCATGATTTGAACAAACTTGAATCTACACTACCTGAGGATGCTTCCACATGAGTTTCATCTTTCCTGGCCCAGCGGTTCTGGAGAAGAAGATTTTTTAAAAATGCCATTAATTTTTAACAAATTCATGATTATCTCCCCTTGGAAAAGAGCGTGGCCCTTCATTTGAACAAACTTGAATCCCCTTCACCCAAGGATACTCTGTGCCAAGTTTGGTTGAAATTGGCCCAGTGGTTCTTGAGAAGAAGATGAAAATGTGAAAAGTTTACGACAACAACAACGACGACGACAGACAATGGACAAATTTTGATCAGAAAAGCTCACTTGAGCCTTCGGCTCAGGTGAGCTAAAAATGAGAATGTAAAGCAGTGTTTTCAAAGGTCCTGAAAAAATATACACCATACAAAAGAATATACTCATATCAGTCTAAATTAATCCTGTTAACAAATTTTTCACAAAATTGTTGTAGTTCATGACCATCATAATACAAAAACAAAACAAAAAAAATGAATATACACACACTAATAAATACAACATGATTGCCACCTGTCACCCCAAGTCAATGGTGAATAGAGTTAACTTTGGTTAGACCTAATTGCTACACATATGTGTATCAATAATTTATATTAAAATTGAAAATACTCTCTTTTCCCAGACTTGAATATTCCTGACCCTGATAAATTTAGACCATCATTTAGTCCTGCTACATTATAGGCCCATGTTTTGTATATGTTTTATCTAAGAGTTCTATTCAAAATATACAGTATCAAAGAGAAATAGATTCATCAATTTAGGGGAAAAATCTACCACAAATGTAATGACTTCTTAACCTCTTTCTGCTTTTTCAAAATTTTACTTCCCGTGTAAAGGAAAAATAAGACATTGGGAACTAAATGAAAAAAAAATTGTGACAAAAAGACAAAATTTATAGCATCTTAACAATACAGTCGCACCTGCTGTTAAACGGCCAATGTAAAGATGCGGCCACTCCCCATGATGCTAAATTTCACTACCCGCCAGTTCAATTTTTCACTATATTTTAACTCATTTAAGCGGCCACCTGTCTAACGCGGCCAGTAGCCAGTGTTTTTAGGTCCCGTGCGCTCAACATGCCTGTTTTCAGCGGCCATTTTGTCCGTTTTGTCACATGACTTCCGTCTGACACGTGATCTCATATCCTCTTACGAAGTCAAACATGAACAGCTGATAATGAGTTAATGACCAATAATTGCAGGTGTAATTTGAATTCTGTCAGGATTTAATGATTTAATTAATATGATTAAATGATTTATTGTTAACAGATGTTTTTTGGTGTTCTTAATATACGAAAGTAAGTTGTTGAATATTTTCATGAACTCAATAGGCTACATTAATTACAATTTCGCCTGAGGTATCAAGTCAAGCGGTCAGTCTCACGTTTTACCTTTTATGTTATATAAATAAATATATATCTAGAAAAACTAAAAAGCTTTACACAGCATCAGGGAAACGCTCAGTTGTTAGAACATTTCATGATTTTCTTGTGATGTAAATTCTATGGCTGTAAAATTAAATTACCAACACACAAAAAAACAATAACAGATTTCTTACAGAAATTCATGTAAAATGAAATGTAAGAAAATGATTTCATTTGACTTAAAATTTCCCAAGTTTTTAAATGTGTTGAAATTGGATTTGGATACATGTGAAAATAAATACACAACTGTGAATCGCAATTTTTTATTCATTGGTTTGAAACCTGTAATAAGTGGCCACCTGTCTTATGTGGCCAATTTGTCATTCTCCCACGAGTGGCCTCTTAAAACAGGTTTGACTGTATTCTACATGATTGTGTGATTATCCTGTATAGATATAAAATTTCTCTTACAAATAATATTGCACAACAACTGAGCCTGGTAAAGCAGATAATATCTTTTACCAATATATTTTATCAACACTTTATAACATTCACATGTACATAAAGTTTGCAATGTAGTTATGTATGCCCATTTTAAAACCTTAGTAGAACAAGTTATTTCCCTTCTGACATGACTCATGACGAAACAATATTCATACTGATACAGAGCAATATAAATAGTTAACCTGCCATTCAACCTTAAACAGACAACCACTGTAATATATACTATAACATCGTCTAAATGCCTTACAATAAATTCTGACAACTATCAACCATCATTCTTGCAATTTTTCCAACCTTTTCCTGACACATTCCCTGCTTGTAACTATCTGCAGAGTTGTCCCATCTTAGACCAAGAGATTCTTAACAAAGGACTGAACATTAACACAGGTATCAGCATCATTGATTTGGTTGGCAGTTGGAAATGGGCTCCGCTAAGTCCTTCTCATACTCACACAGAGCCTGATGAATGAATTCATATTGTTCATGGGTTTGTATCATTCCACCTCTGTGTAAATAAAAGAACGATAAAGAATCATTTGCACCATCAGAAGGTATATTAATCTGCACACTAGAAAATTATTCACCTTCAAATTAAAGCGACGGTTGAAGAGGGTTACGAGGTATCATTTTAATTTGTGGGGGATCAATGTTCATGGGCAAGCAAAATTTTGTTGGTTTGTTGGCATGTAATTCCATAGGTAACTCATATATAGGAGGATTCAATGAATAAACATGATAAATATGTTGACAAAGTAATTGTGAGGATGTAAATTCATGGATAGGGGTGACCAACAAAATCAAAGCACACTGGTCCCCTTTTGGACATTAATGGTTTCACAGTAACTGTTAAAATATTAATGGTATCAAATGTTTAGGGGGGAGGTTGATACCTGTCACTCCTTAGGTTACACACAACACCTAGCACATCCACGGAATGTTCCTCTCTCAGTTGTCTTATACCAATGCTGATAGCAATAAAACAGCCCGTCCGCCCAATGCCAGCACTAAATTAAAAAAAATATTACATTTCAACAAGAGCTCACCACTCATTCTCAGATTATATGGTAATTACAAGGAATTATCTATATGTAGCCAAGTTTTCAGTTTCTCCTTTAAATCGATCAGGTCTTGACAGGAATTATACATATTTCTGCCAGTAAGCTTGAATTAGACTGAATAACCTCAAATAAAGATTATGTGATGCCTTTCTGATATTTATCAAAATATCTCTGATGCATTACAGCATATGGACATTTAATATATAATTTAGAATTGATTTATCCTTCCAAGCAAATGTATGCTGTGGAAACCCCACTCAGAATGCACTAAGAGGTCTTTATTATCAGTCTAAATAAAATTAGACATTCTGAATCCACTACAGCTTCTTTGAGAACTAAAAATTATGAATGCCCTTCCTAGTCATCACAGTAATGTTCCATGAAACATTTTTCTGTATGATTATTTTCATGAAACATCTTTGAAAGTTAGTTTAAGTATTACAGTATTATAAAGTCGAAGATCATTTTTAAGTTCAAGGTAATTCTCACCAAATAATTCATCAGTGCATAAACTTACATTAATTATCTTGAAAAGTGTTTTTGAAAATGCATGCGCCAAACATAAATTTAAGAAAAGTAAGGTCAAGGACAAAGAAAAGTTCAAGGTAAAAAAAAAATGTTGCTATTAAATAGCTCTCATCAATAAGTATCAGCATATTAAGTTTTTATAAAATACAATGTATCTTGATTCGTTTATTTGAAACTTAGCTAAAGACAAATTTAAGATAATTGAAGTCAAGGTCAATGGAAAGATCCAGTCAAAAGATACAGATAAAGTAAAATAGTTAAGATCAGTATGTATCAGCAAATAGGGTTTTATAAATATATATGAGGAGTTTCTTTGAAACTGAGTTAAAACCTATTAAGAAAAGCAAGATCAAGGTTAAAGGGAAGGACAAGGTCAGAAAACTTTGATGCATTTAAAAAACTATGATTAATTCAAAGTACGAGGAAAGGACAGAAGATGGACAGTACATGACAAAAACTACATGCTCCAGCCATATTTATGGCTGGGCATTATGAGAAGCCATAGCAGATTTAGAACATTTAATTTTAACTAGAACTGTCCAAATGGGACAAAATACCCCCCGCTGGGTTTTTTCAGAAGTAAGTTTTTCCATAATAAAGATATGTATCACACATGAATTATGAAATTTTTCTTCCAGTGACCGTGAAATTCCCCAAATGACCTTGGGTCAAGGTAATGACATACCCTTGGGTCATGGGCAATCTTTGTGTGAAATGAGAACCTACCAAGTTTATCCATAAAAAAGATATGGACCGGAAAGAATTATGAACTTTTTCTTCCAGTGACCTTGAACTTCCCCAAATGACCTTGGGTCAAGGTCATGACACACCCTTGGGTCATGGGCAATCTTTGCGTGAAATGAGAACCTACCAAGATTATCCATAAGAAAGATGTGGACTGGACACGAATTATGAACTTTTTCTTCCAGTGACCTTGAACTTCCCCAAATGACCTTGGGTCAAGGTCATGACACACCCTTGGGTCATGGGCAATCTTTGTGTGAAATGAGAACCTACCAAGTTTATCCATAAGAAAGATATGGACCGGAAAGAATTATGAACTTTTTCTTCCAGTGACCTTGAACTTTCCCAAATGACCTTGGGTCAAGGTCATGACATACCCTTGGGTCATGGGCAATCTTTGCATGAAATGAGAACCTACCAAGATTATCCTAAAAAAGATATGGACCGGACAGAAATTATGAACTTTTTCTTCCAGTGACCTTGAACTTCCCAGAATGACCTTGGGTCAAGGTCATGATACACCCTTGGGTCATGGGCAATCTTTGTGTGAAATTAGAACCTACCAAGTTTATCCATAAGAAAGATATGGACCAGACACGAATTATGAACTTTTTCTTCCAGTGACCTTGAACTTCCCCAAATGACCTTGGGTCAAGGTCATGACACACCCTTGGGTCATGGGCAATCTTTGTGTGGAGTAGTAGATTCTAATGTCCCTCCATAAGAAAGATATGGACCGGACACGTTTGCACAGACAGACGGACAGACGGACAAGGTGATTCCTATATACCCCCCCCCAAACTTCGTTTGCGGGGGGTATAATTAGATTATTACCACTCAAAACAGAGAGAGAATCTCTCAGTGCGACTGTAACATCCCTCTTTACCACTTAGGTACACACTGGAGGACTTACCTACAATGTACAATAACTGACCCCCTGGCTCACTTACCTACAATGTACAATAACTGGCCCCCTGGCTCACTTACCTACAATGTACAATAACTGGCCCCCTGGCTCTGCTTCCATCCCCCCTATACCGTCTAAATTCCACCTCCTGAATTAATTGTAACAACATATGTGGAGATTGGGTTGGTTTGTGATCAGGCCAAGCAGTATACCAGTAGTGTAGAACATGCTGTACTTCTCCTTGGCTCTACAAAAAGGAATATTAATTTCTTTCTAAATTTATTTATTAACAATCTGTTCTTTTTTTAAGATAAGTAATCAAACCAATCTTTAAACAATGTAATCATAAGAATTCAACTCTGTAAGAAAATACTGTTTTAATTTCCTGCATTACATACACATGTACATGTACTTAGTTATTTTCAGATCTTACCCTAAGCAAAAGGTGTCTAAGGGTATAACCCTGTTTATTGATGACTCTGTCTACTTTCACTTCAATATCTCCAAAAGCACACCAAGTTTCATTGTCCTCAGGTAAGTAGTTCTCACATTTTGTCTGCAAGCAAAGAATGGATTCAATAACATGATTGTATATTTATTTCTAATATTCCTCAAATGCAAAGTACAAATTGTAACAATTCCTTGTATGCAAAATGCAGCATTTTTAAGAGTTACAAAGAAAGATAAGTGCCAACAGACTGAGACTGAAATCTTGAACTCCATGGGTATTGACAATGCCCTGCCAAGTCAGTGGCGGATTTAAGGGGGGGGGGCCTAAAATTGTCAAAGTTAGCATAAAACATAAATTTGTCGAGAAAATGTTAACAAGAGGCCCATGGGCCTTATAGGTCACCTGAGCATTATGCATCAACTTTCCAGTGATTGAATTTGATTCATGTTTTAAGCCAGATGCTATGGCATTCACAATTTTGAAAGAGGCACCATTGATCATCATAACAATACACTTAGCAGTTGCTTAGTTTGTTTACTGAATACCCATATGCAGGGTAAGGGAACAAAAAATGCATTTTAACTAATCAGTAATATTCAGCAATAATCAGTGGTGCCCCTACCACACATGAACCCCTGACCCTTAGGCCTTGATATTTGATTAATACCAAGGAGCAGATTTCAAACCATTCATTCATTTTCAGTATATAAGTACAGCCCCCCCCCCCCTTCTATGGTACCCCTGACCCTGGGGCCTTGAAATTCACAATTCTGGAAGATATGGGCCCTTGTCCAGCATAACTATATAGGTAGTTCATCTGCTTAATACCCTGGAGCAGAGAAGAAAATTTTCAAAGATTTAATGTATTTTCACTATATAATCAATAGAGCCCCGCCCTAACACTAGAACCCCTGACCCTGGGGCTATAAAATTCACAGTTTTGGAAGAGGCATTCTTGCTCATTATAACTATGTACTTAGTTAGTTCATTTAATTCCTAGGAGCAGAGAAGAAGATTTTCAAAGAATTCATGTATTTTCACTATATAATCAATACGTCCCACCCTAACACCAGAACCCCTGACCCTGGGACCATAAAATTCATTATTTTGGCAGAGGCACCCTTGCTCATCATAACTATGCACTTACTTAGTTTATTTAATACCCAGGAGCAGAAAAGATGATTTTCAAAGAATTCATGTATTTTCACTATATAATCAATAGAGCCCCACCCTAACACCAGAACCCCTGACCCTGGGGCCATGAAATTCACAATTTTGGTAGAGGCACTCTTGCTCGTCATAACTATGCACTTAGTTAGTTTATTTAATACCCAGGAGCAGAAAAGAAGATTTTCAAAGAATTCATGTATTTTCACTATATAATCAATAGAGCCCCACCCTAACACCAGAATCCCTGACCCTGGGGTCATAAAATTCACAATTTTGGTAGAGGCACTTTTGCTCATCATAACTATGCACTTAGTTAGTTTATTTGATAACCAGGAGCAGAAAAGAAGATTTTCAAAGAATTCATGTATTTTCACTATATAATCAATAGAGCCCCGCCCTAACACTAGAACCCCTGACCCTGGGGCCATAAAATTCACAATTTTGGTAGTGGCACTCTTGCTCGTCATAACTATGTGCTTAGTTGATTTATTTAATACCCAGGAGCAGAGAAGAAGATTTTCAAGGAAATAATGCATTTTCACTACCTACTTATTTAGCCCCGCCCTAGCACTAGAACCCCTGACCCCAGGGCCATGAATTTCACAATTTTGGTAGAGGACTCATTGCTGATTACAATCATGCAAACAGTTTGACTGCTTGATGTCCAGGAGTAAAGAAGAAGATTTTTAAAGATTGCATTAATTTTAGTGGTTTTGGCCCCACCCCTCAGGCCCCAGGGGGGCAGGGATCAAGAAATTCACAATTTTTGTTCCCCTTCACCCATAGATGCTTTAGGCCAAATTTGGTTGAAATTGGTTCAGTGGTTGCAGAGAAGAAGCTGAAAATGTTCAAATGTTAACGCACGACGCACGACGATGGACGAAAACAGATAGCAATAGGTCACCTGAGTTTACTCAGGTGACCTAAAAACGTCTACTTGGTAGACCTCATTTTTACTCTCCAAAACCTCTAGAATCCATGAGCTTCCGGGGGCCTCAAGGCGGCCCCCAGACCCCCTGCCTAAATCTTGTGTCCCCCCCCCTAACTTCAATTCCTGGATCCGCCCCTGCAAGTAAACTAGAGACCATTTCAGATCGAAAGATCCTGGGGGTTTATTGTTTTTGTCCTGTCTGTCTGTCAGTTTTTATATCTGTCTGTTGTCACCTTTAACCTAGCCCATAACTATAGAGTGGATGGGGCTATGGCTTTCATATTTCACAGGTGTATTTCTTTTGACAAGACCTTTCTTTGGGTACCACCAAATTTGACCTCTTGACCTTGACCTTGGAGTTTGACCTACTTTTACAAAAACCAGAAGTCTCTCTCGAGACTGAAGCTCTACTGGTTTGTACTTATAGCAAAGGAAGAGAAAAATACTTAAGCATGCAGTTGGGAATTGAAACTTTACAACAGCAATAAATAGAATAATGATCCTTGATTAAGTCTGATCTTCCACCAAACAATATTATGGTGTAAAGATTGTACACTTGTTTATGTGTAAGTGTAGAACATTTTATGATAGCTGATAGTCATTTGATGCACATGGCATCGTTCTAGTGATCTGTCACTGTATGCAGTTGGGAATTGAAACTTTATAACAGCAATAAATAGAATAATGATCCTTGATTAAGTCTTTCTATGTTCTTAGTGTAGTCTACTTGCCACATTATATTATAATCAGACTAAAACTGTATTTGAGTGGTATTTTGAAAGTATTAAACAGAAAATTCTATTTTTAGTAACCAAGGCAATAACGTTCATCAAAATCAAAAACCCATGCACTATTTAATGTATCATAGTGTAGTCTACTTGTGTGCCAACTTACATTGAAATCAGTCCAAAACTGTAGGAGACGTAGCAGTTTAAAAGAATTTCACAGAAATTTCTATTTTTAGTAACCACGGCAACACTGTTCATCGAAATCAAAAACCGATATACAGAATTGTGTATCTTAGTGAAGTCTACTTGTGTGCCAAGTTATATTGAAATCAGTCCAAAACTGTAGGAGGAGTAGCATTTTGAATGAATTTCACAGAAATTTCTATTTTTAGGAACCACAGCAACACTGTTCATAGAAATCAAAAACCGATAAACAGAATTATGTATCTTAATGTAGTCTACTTGTGTGCCAACTTATATTGAAATCAGTCCAAAACTGTAGGAGATGTAGCATTTTGAAAGAATTTCATGGAAATTTCTATTCTTAGTAACCACGGCGACACCATTCATCGAAATCAAAAACCAATATACAGAATTATGTATCGTAGTGTAGGCTACTTGTGTGCCAAGTTATATTGAAATCAGTCCAAAACTGTAGGAGGAGTAGCATTTTGAAAGAATTTCACAGAAATTTCTATTTTTAGTAACCACAGCAACACCGTTAATCGAAATCAAAAACCGATAAACAGAATTATGTATCTTAGTGTAGTCTACTTGTATGCCAAGTTATATTGAAATTAGACCAAAACTGTAGGAGGAGTAGCATTTTGAAAAATTGTTTACAGACAGACGGACAGACAGACAGCTAGACAGAAGGACGGACGCCAGACGCATTACTATTGCATAAGCTCTTCTGGTCTCTGACCAGTAGAGCTAAAAACATCCCACTTTAACCTTGGCTATTACTTGAGAACTTTTGTTGCTAGGGCTTTCATACTTCACATGCATACATTCATTGTTAGAAGACCTGCCAGCTGGTATAAATATTTTGACCATGACCTAAGAGTTTGATTCACTTTTTCAAAACTTTAACTTTTGTCATAACTTTGAACAGTTAGAACTAGGGCTTTCATATTTTACAGGTGTATTCCTTGTAACAAGACCTTTCTTTGAGTACCAAAACTTTTGACCTTGACCTTTGACATGCATTTGAGAGAAGTCAACCCTCACTACAAGCTGCCAAATGGGGGCATCAGTGTTTCACAAACACGTCTTGTTCAATTTAAAAATATCAACTGTAAACATCCATCAAATTTGAATTGACTTCAGGTTTTTGGAATTTTATAGGTACTGACAGTGTCTTGTCAGGGAAGCTAAAGTGCATCATTTCCAATTACTGTTTTCAATTTTAAAACTATCACTGTCAACATACCTTGGCTTTTTCCTTAAGTTTTGTGATCATGACAATAATGGGTGACTTTTCTATCCACACCATTCTCCAGAAGTCTACAATGGTGTGAGACATTGGTCCTTGTGTGGCTATGTAGGCTTTCTCCTCTCCCTCATATCCCTGACAAAAATCACAAAAGATTAGACATGTTACCCATGGCATACTAATGTATGTATAACTACCCATTTCACGAATGCTATTACAAGACTAGCTTTGTAGCTAATGCTAATTAATAATGTTAATTAATTTTATAAAAATCTAACTTTTAACTGTTATTTTTCTTTACCTGCCTTCTATACTAATATTGAGAGAACAAAGAAAAATTCTAGTTAGAGCAAATTACCCGGTATTCAATTTCTCAAATTTCTTTGTTAGACAAGACTTATGCAGGTAAATATTTTTGTCTCAAAAGAAGCTATATTAATTTACATTGTAAACAAGTTTTTCTTGCTAGATACAGTCTAACACACTGAGACACAGCATGACAGACATCTGCTTATTATTTTCATGCCTCACTCTATTGATTCTCTGATTTCTCTCCCACACGTATGAAATACTAAACCAGGAGTTTTCACAGTTTTCAGTGCATCTGTCATTTAGAATGTAAATACAGATGTGTGAATACCTCGGAAATTCCTAGATTTACACAAATAAAGAATTAAATATACTGTCAGACATATTTTATGTGTTTTAACCTTGACTCTAGGGATAAAATGTTTTCAACATGTTGTGTATAGATTTCAAATTGAAAAGAGCCAAAGTTGTAAAGTGTGTTCATGTCAACAAATTTGACCTTCTGACCTTGACCTATCAATCAAATGACCCTCAAATCTACTGTGACTAAATAGCGAAAATAAAGGTTCAAAATAAACTGCCCATATTGCATGCCACAAAATTATTCACTACAATCATCAAAAAATATCCTCTCCAGAGAGTGTATATGATGGACATTTAAAGGTACCGTATTTGGCCGAGTATAATACGCATTGATGTAAAATACGCACCCCACTTTTTGAGTCTGAAACTGGGGAAAAAAACGCAGTTCGGATGTATTATACGCAACAGAAAAATTTACCAAGTGATGTTCTGAACTATGAAAATCGCAGTAATTTGTTACGAAAATCGGCGCGAGGATTAAGTGTCAAAAATTTACTGAACACACTTTTTTTCAAATACACACTTTATAACTCTCTTAATCCTGACATTCCATATCGCGGCAATCTGGAGAAAATCATTTATTCATTTATTTCAACAAAGCACAAGATAATGTTGCGTAAAAGTATTAACAGATTTTTTTAAAGAATAGTTACGGTGATTTTAAAATTATGCGTCGCCATATTCTTAGATGAAATAATTTTATTTCAACAAAGCAAGAGATATTGTCAAAAGTTTTATCAGTTGTCATACTCAATTTTGGTTCTAGATAATCATGCTTAAAATTATCTTACAATATTTTAACAGGAAACGAAATTGAAACATCAAAGTATTTATTTCTTTAAGAAGACTACGATTTTCCTCTTCTGAATCTTCGCGGATATCTTATTTTCTAAATGATACACTTTTATTAAAAGTTTTAGAATAATTTATATTTCATTTCTCAACTCTCAATTATTTAAACAAGAGGCCGATAAGTATAAGCTAAGGTAAAATTACATTTAACAAGTGTTTAATTGTTTAAAGTGCCGTAATCAACACATGCTCACACATACGAATGGTCATAAACCGACCCCCAAGTTTTAACAAAGAAAATAATCAAAGCAATTAATATGGCAGTAAATAATCAGTGCTCTTACTGTAAAAACATTGCTAGATTGCTTTGGAGTCGGTAGACAATTAATTGCCCCGAGGGGTGTTGATAGGTAATTATCATTTGACCAGCGCACGTGTGTCACAACATTGGCTTCCTTTCATTGGGACGTATGGAGGGGTGTTAATATTGTTGCAGATTATCATTGAGTTATTTTAAATCTAAAATTAATATTTATTTTATTGTATTTCATTAAAAAAAGATTTATTACTTTGTCTGGCAGATAAGGTGCATGTGCACTATCATTACGGAAGCACGTGACATAGCCATGAGTGAACGTCTAAAAATAACATCGGTAATGGCGGCCTCCTCGGAGACAATCAACATGCAGCTCAAATTACTTTTAACTTACTTTTTCATGTTATTTTGGTATCAAAAGATTATGAAAGTGACATTTTTAAGAAGCATACCTTCCAACAATGACTTTCCCAAATTTAAAATATGGCAATTAACAAAAGAAATTGCATATGTCTCTTAGTAATACTACGGTATGTACGTATGATAGCCGTGTTTCACCTGAAAGAAAAACTTGTCAAAATCCCATTGTGATGTAAAATACGCATCCCTTTCTCACAGAAATTTATTTTAAGAAAAAAGTGCGTATTGTATTCCCCGAAATACGGTACTTGGACACAGATTTGAAGTTTATATTTTCTCTATAATATTACGACTTATATATTATAATAGCATTACAAACAAAAACTAATTGAAAATCGTATTTCATTTAAAAGTTATTAAAACTTCAAATTTTCAGACGGGTTTCCTTGCACTTTCACAAATTTTACTTTTATTCTCAATACTTAGGAAAAGTGGTAATCTTGTTGTGTATAAATGAAAAATATTAATACAGGTAAACTTCGGTATCTCGACATCGGATATGTCGACAACCTGGGATATGTCGACGTCCGTCTGCGGTCCCGGCATTATTTACTATATAAATGATTTGCATGTCGACCTCGGTAATGTCGACTACCCCGCTTATCTCGACGTATTTCATAGTCCCAAGAGCAAAATTTACCTGGTGTATGTCGACATCGGTGCAATTTTCTGCTCTACTTAACCTAATTGTTTGTTAGCTGGCCGCTCGTCACGCACGGACGACTCCGTGTAACTCGACGTCGTCAGAAATTCACACCTTTCACACCCATGTTTTGACTACCTACTGCCCTAAAAATGTGTTTGTAGAGGAATCCCAAGCCCCCTCGGCGTCTTTATTACGTTAATTGTTTAATGTTCAGCTTGGGTAATTATCATGGTAAATCTTCTCAATTCTGCGTAAATGTACAACCGTTTATTTGTGTCGAAATCTAACAGAACTTGAACACTTTGTAAAAAAAAAAAAAAAGGTAACTGAATAACAGTGAACAATATACACATTGAATTCAATTTAACTTTAAAATTGTGGTAAAAATGCATTCAACATGAATCAGTCAAACTTGCGACATGCACGACCATTGCATCAGCCGTAATATGGATGCATATGTAACATCATTAAGTTTGTTAAATGCTCAATTCCATTTAAATTTTGGTTTGAAAATGAAATGAAGATTAACGAGGAATGATTATGAAATAAAAAAAAAGTGAAATGAAATAATTTTAAGAAAGTATACGCATTAACTTTTTTTCCGTATCTCGGAAGTCGACTTTGTACCGTTCCGGTTTTGAATTTATAAAGCGCATTTCGTATCCTGTTCTGACAGAGCTAATGGCACGCGGATCGAATGCTGGATGGAAAACGGCTTTTAGTGAAATGAGAAGATTTCAATAAAAAAGAAAGCATTTCATTAATAACATTTGTGAATAACTTCTTAGATTTTCTAATAAATGTAGAGGGATAGCTGAAACAAACGAGCTACAGTCTAATTGAAGACACGTAGGTACCTATAGTTACACGTCTGTTCAGTTTAGGTCTTTGGTTTTACTATGCAGTAAAATTAAGGATGTCGAGTCTCAACTCTGATATCTCGACACCCCGGATATCTCGACATTTTCCGACTGTCCCGTCGATGTCGAGATAACGAAGTTTACCTGTACTACAATACAGAAAATTCAGAGTAAACATGTTCGAAAGCAAAACAAACACACAATGTATTGTCAGTCCGTGCAGTTGTGGTGAGCAGACCTTGACGATTGAATGCACCTGGTGAATCGTAAACATCGACAATAACAGACCTCGTGCCCTGTTTACAAAAACTGTGTACATAACACGAGTGTGATCAATTTGCTAAACTCTGTACACAACACTTAGCTCGGAATGATGATACTTGTGAAGGAGTTTTGCTTTCTAACATTTCTACTCTGAATGAAATTATTTTTCTGGATTAAAGTTTTAATATTTCTCAATACACAAGAAGATGGCCACTTTTTCGAAGGATTAAGAATAAAGTTAAAATTTGTGAAAGTGCGAGGATGCGTCAATCAAACCCGCCAAAAAATCTGAAGTTTTAATAACTTTTAAATGAAATAAGATTTTTAAATTAATTTTTGTGTAAAATGCTATTGAAATATATAATTCGTGATATTATACAGAAAATATTAACGTCAAATCTGTGTCCAAGTACCTTTAATTAAGATGAAGTTGTATTGCTGTATCACATTACAATACTGACTGACTTTTTTATCATCATCATTTATTTAGTGCAGACAGGCTCACTTGGAGTTATACAATACTATCACATGGAGTTCATAACAAATTATACATTCCTTGACGACGTTCGATCCCAATATTTAAAGTCTTAAACTTTTTTTGCCAAGTATATTTTTAGTTTCTACATACATAGCTTAATTAAAATTCAAATCAAAAAATGGGTGTCAATACGCTTCTTTTGGCGCTACAGTACATTTAATATGACCTTTCTGCACTGAAATTTGTGTCTTAATTAAAAATTAAATTTTTGACGTTTTCCCTCCAATATTTTTATCCAATTAAAGCATGAAACAAAATGAACTCTAAGTTTGTTTTAAAAAAAGACACTTTAAAATTGTGACTAAGAAAAAGTTTCAAATTGCTGTGCATAATCAATTATTTGACCTTTCTGCACTAATAAAAAGTGATTTTTCTGGCATTGAAAATTTAATAAGCAAGAAAATTATTTTAAAGTCTTAAACTTTTTCTGATTTTAAGCAAATAGGTCAGATTTATCTTGAATATATAGAAAAGGACATCAAAAGTGGGGTTATATGATGTAAATTTTTAGATATTACTAAAAAAGTGTCAATTTTAAGTTAAAATTGGCTCAATTTTTCCACGGATTTTCAGAATATATTTACTATATTTGCCACACTTTGTTGATAGAAATAATTTAATAGGAAATAATTTAATACTAGATATTTCAGAACCAGCATAGCACATTTCACTGCAAAAAACAGCTTTGTGTGCAACCAGGATGGAAAAATAGGAATCCTAAATTAACAGTACTGTTATAGTTAAAAATCGAAAAATTGATCATTTTCGTCCAAAAAACCTTCCGCCACAAAATATAGTCCCTAGCTTAATTCTACTTGAATGGAATTTAATCACGGTTTTTTCATTGAATATAGTTAAATTTGCACTGTAGAATTCAGATTTAATATTAGAATTAAAAAATGATGCAGAATTTTATAAATAAAGGACCTGACCAAAATAAGCTCAAAATCTCAGGATCGAACGTCCTTAAAAATGCATCAAATCATATAGAACTAGAATTGTCTTAACATGATTGATAGCCCCAAAAATTTACTGTAAGCAGACACTATTCCACAATGCAACATATGTGCAAGATTGGTTAACATACCCCCCCTCCCTTCCCTTCTCTGAGCTGGGGTAGAAAGTGATCTAAATGCTACATGTATGTCTTGTATTTTAATTACATACACATGCACATGGACCGACACCTACATTTTTGTTGTGGGGGTTAATGACTGTCCTTTCTATCAATGTTCTTATATTCCTTGACAGTTTACATATCACACCCACTTTTGAAAAGTCAAAATTCCTAACTTTAATGAGGATGTGGTCAATGTGACAAAACATTACTATAGCAGAAAAACAGCTGTTGTGTGTAAAACTCCAAACATCATTCATGAAGAAAAACATGTGGACTGGCATCATGAGCATAACGAAAAAGAGCAAGTACTTTTGAAACAATCTCAAAACTACTGATTGTCTTCATGTAACCTATATTTAGAAGGTCTGTGTTGATATATAAACTTGATCTAATCTAGAGCATTTTGTACTTTCCATGGATTTAATAAAGGTAATCTTACTCTGATGTAGTTAGCATTGTGTACAGTCCATGGATTTAATAAAGGTAATCTTACTCTGATGTAGTTAGCATTGTGTACAGTCCATGGATTTAATAAAGGTAATCTTACTCTGATGTAGTTAGCATTGTGTACAGTCCATGGATTTAATAAAGGTAATCTTACTCTGATGTAGTTAGCATTGTGTACAGTCCATGGATTTAATAAAGGTAATCTTACTCTGATGTAGTTAGCATTGATGTAGGAGGATAATGGATCCCACTCACTGTCAGGAAGGATAACTCTGCTGTGCTCATCTGTAAAAAAAAAAATAATATGCACTGTATTTATCAATGCAGCATTTGTTGTATTTATTACTGTCATTTTTACAGTAGCAAAAATCTTTACTTTTAATTAACACTGTAAATGAAAGAATATGTGTAAATTAAAACAACATAAAACAAATACATTGAAAACGGTGTTTTTTTTGTTATATAAAAATGAAAACTTAAACTTATATAAAAAGAATATGACATACATGTACTTAAATCTTATGTCATAACAGACAGAGCGGCCCCATATCAGATTATTAGGACCACAGGCTGATATGGGTCCCAAAGTTTGATTTGACGTTTGATACAGACTTGTGGTGTAAAGAATTGTATTTATCAAATATTTAAAATATTTTTTATGTTCACGCATTATTTTTTATTTCTGGCACTTTGAGTTATATACGAATGTTTGGTGTATGTATATAGAGCTGAAACGAATGTTCGAACATTCGCAAACGAATAGTTTTTCACGAATATTAGAATGGAAAATTTGTATTCGAATATTCGGTCACATGTTTAATACAATTAATACAATAAATGGTGTAGGCCTATCCACTTGTTTTTGATCACGATGGAAAAAGAAGCAAACGAAAGCACATACATGTATAAGACAGGTTGTAAACTTTGTCCTTATTAGGGCTGGGACGATATATCGAGATATCGATATATCGTGATACGTGTTAGGACGATACGCATATCGATACATATGAAGAAATATAGGAATATCGCCCCAAAAAATCTTGCTTCTGTTTTTCTTTGTTTATTTAAAATTTGGGGTTTAATATATAAAATAAATAAGCTAAATATAAATATAGATATGAAATAAATAATAATTAACACCACTTGAGTAAAATATTTTTGTTTTACAATATAAAAACAATTATTTTGAATAAATTATTCTTATTTGCAAAGAAATAATTTGTTTATTTCAATGCAAAATAAAAAATTTATCAGCAATTAAACATATCTTGATACATATCGTATCGTGGCTCAAATATCGTGATACGTATCGATATAGAAAAAATTGTATCGTCCCAGCCCTAGTCCTTATGGTACTACTGGTCAAATGAAGGCACAACGTCAGATTTATTAAATCATCTTCAAGCCAAATATTCAGCAACCTCATGTATCTCCGAATTAATTTAAATATGGGTGACATTGACCGCCATGATTTTCGAAAGTAATAAAAAATTTATATATGATATATAAAATTTCCGTATAAACAAATGGAATCGATTGTTCGTTTTATAATTTATAAATAATTGCAGAAATCATACATGTAAAATATACATTATATTACCAGTATATTTTTTGAGAATGTTATATTTTAAAGTTAAATATTGATTAAAAAAATTCACAGGACGCTTCCGGAAGCACACCTTTTTTTTTTTTTTTTTACTTTTATAACAGTTAAACATGGCGAGCACCTGCTGATTTGCTGATCGGGCGTTTTACGTAATCGGAATGCAATACAGTCACCTAATTTAAAGAAGTCAAGAGGCTTATGATTGTTTTATTTTTCTTGAAAATAAACACGAGTCCTAATGCACATTTACATGTCAAACGGCTTGGAACAGACGTTTATTTCTTACACCTATCTTTTACATTGATATATAGTAATAAACAATAGGATTAGCAAGTATATGAAAAGGCATAATTACTGTTTTATTTAATTACCGAATGTTCGAATACGAATCGAATAACAGTCACGAATATTCGAATGTTGATTTATGGTATTCGTTTCAGCTCTATATGTATACTATAATGTACATTTTTCTTTAAACATATATAGAACATTTGCAGGTCATTATAAAACTTAATTTTTTTTAAATCAGCAAATATTTAATTGTATATAAACATTGATAATTTTCAATACATGTATATTTCTGAATCAATAAAAACTTTTTTTTCAAAAGATATTGCATGCTGTTTTGATATCAGACTTGTCCTTGAAATATAGGGTATAAATGTCACACACATAACATGGTGAGGAATTGGTGTATATACTATAGTAACTAACTAAAGTATGATAAATAATAGTCAAATATGACTTTATTAACCATAATTGATGAAAAATCAAATCATTAACTCCATCAAAAAAGTAGTGTCCAACTAGGTTAATTAAAGTACTAAAATAATAAGGATCCTTATTATTTTCATTATATAAAAATATTTAACACAACATGATATCTTTGTTTTCTAGAGACATAAAACAGAGGGATTTACTTGGAATAATGGTTCTGTATCTGTTCTTCATCCCTGATCCTGCGACATAAACCTTCTCTGGGTGATTCATGGGAATTTCCTACAATTACATTTGCCCATTATAAGGTAATCTTTGTTAGCATGCAAAGTCAGGCAAACACTCTATATCATGCACTGTGCAAAATCTTCATAGATTATTGTAATAGAGACACATGAACAGACTTTTAGAAACAAAAATATTTTCCTTTAAGTATCCACATATAAGAATGTGGTTATGACAATACTGATAATCACCTTAACATTAGTCTTTCATTTTCAATCATTTATACAACTTTTTTTTTTTTGCAAATGAAAAGCCACAAGGTAGAACATACTGTGTAGGAAGACATACCCAAAATTCTTCATAAAGGGCCCTACTATTTTTGACAGCATTGCGTAGATCTCTGCGACTCAGTCTATTCCCAGCAGTGAGTAAAAACTCAAGTCCAGTACTATAAAATAATTTTTAAAAAATGTGTAAAATCCTCAGGTGCATATTAATACAATATTTGTCTGCATTTTCTTGTAAACATGCAATAAAGTTGAGATATGTTACCCTTCTTTGGGGGGAGTTCCTTCCCATCGGTTCACCTCGGGGGAAGCAGCTTTCAGATCAATCTTCAGCGAAGCACTTGATCCTCTTCTACATGACATACAAAATAGAATGAGAGATTATCATGCAAAAAAGCCATCTGTCCCTAATAATCCTTACACGTTTTTTGTTGCTTTTTGACATGACTGACAGCATTATTTTAGGAAAGAGAGATTTAATTTGCCAACCCACACACAGTATTACATTGACCACTACAAGGAACAAAAAAAAGAAAGTCTCTCTTTGATACACATCTGTGAGTTTCATATCACAATTATTTCTAATCCATATATAGCAAGTCCTTTGGCATCTCTGTATGGTTTAACCAAAACATGAAACTTTTCTCCCAAGGTCCTTATTAACGAGAGAGCCTCAGAAAAGCTTCCTTTTTATGGGTTTTAATTCCTATGTAGAAGTGTAGCTTGATCTTCTAGCTTTGTTACAAGCACATGCTGTCTCTCTCTCTCTCTTCATTTTTTTTATACAGTTGAACTTATAGTTATCTTGTAGGAGGTATATGAAACTTAGTAAGCAAACCATGATAATAGGTAGTTTTTGTCTTCATTATAGCAGCACATAATCTATAAATTTAGGTGTTAAAAAACACCAACAAAAGAACCTTTCATTCTACCTTGCTTAGTAATCTATTCTCTTTTTTTTTTTATTACCTCCCATTAAAACTTTGAAAGATGACATGACCCTTCACCAGTTTCATATTACAAATCTGAAACCCTTTCATTAATTCAGGTGAGCTTAAAAACTGCATATGTCCATATTTACCGTTCTAAGAGGCCTTTGGCTTTGATTTTCTTGGCTTGAGTTTGTATGGGAGTGACACATCCCTTGGTGACAAATACGGGGCTGCCTTCTGGCTGTATCATCACGGGGTGTTTAACGTCAGGCTTGATGGAGGGGTAGAAGATCTGCTGGGGTTTCAGGGAGGGGTAGAACACAGGCTGGGGCTCAGAGTATTCCTCCTTTTCTTCTGCCTGCTCATCTTTGTTCTTTTTTCGACAGCAACAGAAAATCTATCGCGAAAAAAATTAATGACATTGAGAAATAGTGATGTCATGGTTTACACCATCATTGTTTGTCATAGTTTTTGTTGAGAGGATGCAAGAAATTTACAAGTTATTAAGCAGTGGAATGGACTTTAAAACAAAAATCACATACATTAACCTAGATTGTTCATCCAATGAGAATTCAATAACTATACTGATTTACTTTAAATATTTCCTTTTCCACTCCCTTCAATTTTTTTTAATAAAATGATTTTGCTTATACACATATATGTGTTTATTACTGAATGAATTTCAACTGAGATTTACGTATTCACAGGAAGTTTGCACAGAACAAATTAAGGTCAGACGACACGTTCCTCAAAAATATATAATTTTCCCCAAGAATTTGTCATTGAAGTAAAGGTAATTAAACAGGTTAAGTTTCCTCACAAAAAATTAGGGTACTTTACCAGGCATTAGGCCAAGATACCATAGGGTCATATTTCTTATATAACCCTTATGGATAATCTTCTAAATGGCCTGTAACACAATTTTTGGTGTACTTATATTTAAAAACATTTTAAAAACAATGTAGAAATCAATAGAGAATGACAAATATGAACTAGAACTGTCCAATAGGGACAAATACCCCCGCTAGGTTTTTCAGAGAAGGTGCCAATTCAAAAATACTTTATGGATCTAGAGGTGTTCACAATTTACTTACAAAAATTTGCAGTGAAATATAATTGCTCATCATGTTTCTTAATGAATGAAACAAAGGTGCAACCAAATGAAACATCAATACTAATACATTGTAATTCCATTGTAACATTTTTTTTTATTTTTTCATTTTATTTTTTTTTATTTCTGCATTAAAAAAAATAAATTGCAGTTATGTGTTATGTCACTCTGCAAACTGATTGTTAAAAAAAAAAAACATTATACAAATCAAATTAATCTTGATATATCAATTTGAAATGCATTTTGAAAATAAAGAGCTGGTCATCCAGTAATGAAGTGCTTTGACAGACAATAAATTACAATTAAGAGAATAAGAGAAGAGAGATCTTTAATTCTTGTGCCTTATTCCCTGGAGATTAGATAACACACACGCTTGATAAGAGATATGCCATAACAACTTCCAACACCAAACTCATTAATTTATCTTTAACTGGATGCATGTCCAGTCATTATTCCCAAGAGACAAATGGAATTACATTATTTTCTGTGCAATGTAAAAACTGTTTTTAACACTTGATGATGTTTCCTTTTCTTAAGTTTTTATGAGTATTTTTGAACAGATATTCTAGATTCTATATCTCAAACCTTATACATGAGCCCAAAATGAACAAGTCAATTAAAATAAAAAATAAAACCTGTAAAATGCAAAAAAATTAACAAAAAGAGTTGAAAATTCCAGGTGCACACCTTCATATGGTGAATAATAAGTGTGCAAATTTTCAGATTAATCCTTGCAATAGTTTCTGAGAAACGGTCCGGACAAAACCACAAAAACACCTGTAAAATTCAAAATAATAATCGAATCAAGATGAAAATATCAGGTGCACAACTTCATATGGTGAATAATATGTGTACAAATTTTTAGACAAATCCTTCCAATAGTTTCTGAGTAATGGTCCGGACAAAATCTTGTCTACAGACAGACAGACAGACAGACAGACAGACGGACAGACGGACATGGTGATTCCAATATACCCCCCCTAAACTTCGTTTGCGGGGGGTATAAATAATTCTTATATAATACCAAGAGATACAAAACATTTATTTGAGGAACGTATCATCTGACCCTAACAAGTTTTAAGTTTCAACAAATACCCTAGCAGGTACAATGCTGAAAATTTTTAGCCAGTTGTAAATTTTTACAAAAGTGAACGTGAGAACACACTCATGTTTCTAGTAAAACATACCACAACTGCCATAACCAGGACTAGACACACACTACAGGCTGCTGCTAAGTAGGGGAAGTAGCTCTCCGTCCAAAATTTGGCTGAAGTTATCAATGGTTGCTGAAAACATCACAGTACATATGAAAATACTACAAGTACTTGAAAGTAAATTTGACTGACATAATGTGCTACTGACACAAAAAGGAAGTACTTCATGACTGTTGTGACCTTTATAGTGTGCAGCATAAAATAACTAGTGATAGATCCATCTTCACGATGAGCTATCTCTTACCATTGATACTGACAATCAATAAAATTATGCTGAATGGTCATTTCTCCTTGTTCATTCTTTCAACATACTTCAGCATTCATAATATTTGATTGAATTATCTTTATTTCTCTGACTGGTCGAGATCCACATTTTACTATTAGAAAAATTCACACATCATATTCACCTGCATATGACCTTCCATGTGTCCATAAAAAATTATATTTATAAAAAAAGTTATAAAATAACTTGGATTGAATTCTTTCCATGTTAACTCGGCAATCACTTATTTACCGGTAATAAGTTTTTTTTGTATCTCACTCCACAAGGAAATGGAATACATTTAACAAAGTTCATGGACAACATTTTTAGTTAGAGATAGTCTTGTATGTGTGTAGGGAGGGGGAGGGGGCGTTGTTGGCAAATTACTTAACTAGTATTAAGCAAATATGCTGAGCTTGCACCAGAAAAAAAAAAGAAATTGTAAAAAAAAATTATGCAATCAGAAAGACAGACTCAGACCTTGCATTTTTTAAAAAAAAAAAAGTTTAAAATTGTTATGAAAAAGTAAAAATAATGATTTCTGAATTGTTCAATTTTCAAACAGTAATAAAACACCAATTGTTTTTCTTATATATGAACTTGTAAATGCTAATTGTCAAATCATGAACTCATACACTTTTCAGCATTACTTTTCAAAACCTTATTAAGTTTGAGGCATCTATTTTCAGCAGGATTTTCTTTCAGACAATTGATCTAGGCTATATGCATTGCCCACGAAGATTTCAAGGAATTCAAAAAGATGTGATTTCTATCATTTTTGTACAAGATTCTTAAAATATCAATTGAAGGTGGGTAAACTTGTGGACACTATTTCCTTCAGAAAATAGAGACCAAAGCCTAAAGGCCCCAAATACTTGGACTACAGGGGCGTAAAAAAAAGAAGCACAGATAAAACTGGTAAATGAATATATGTACTTTAGAAACAGATTCAACAATTCTGTATAATCATTAATGTCCAAGGGGGATCAGTGTTTGTGGAATTCGTGGGCCACTACATCCCCATAAACAAATGATAAATAAACAATTATTTTGTAAAAATAAATTTAATGAATCTTCTGTACATTATTTTTCTCCAAAGCCAAAAAATTTGCTTGCCAACTATATAAGATATATTGACCTCCTTGAATTAATTCAAATGATTTCACAGTAAATTATGCTTCAATGAATCAACAAAAGTCCACTTAAAAAAGTGGATATACCATGTATACTGTCATAATACTAGGAAGTAAAAGCAGGAGAGATTTATCTATCAGGTATCACATTTGGATTCTGTGATAATGGTTCTGCAGCACATAAAACATTCATAAGATCAGTGATCTATGCCTCTCCTCAAATATCACAAGCGAAAATAATGACCTCAAGAGATATACTGAAAGGAAAAAGAAACGCAGGGTAACCTTTCGAGGTGAATTAAATTTATTTGTCTTTTAATTTTTTTCAGTATTCTTATCTAACTTTTAAAATCATCTTTCAAATAGATATAACCAAAATCTATTTGATTTTGTCTAATAATTCATGAGTTATGGAAGCTCATATGACGATACCCCCCAAAAGTGAAAATCGAAAACTCTCATTATCTTCAATGTATCTCCCGCGCATCTGTCAGATCCTTATTTCCCCTTTGGATGGAATCCATCAGAGTGTTTATCTTTCTAACCCTTGGTATATTGGGCATGGGTAACCATGCCTAAAAATTAGCAAAACGATGCGCGCATGCGCCAGTGAGAGGAACACAATTGCAAGTTGACCGGCTCAAAACACCAAACTGCGGAATTGTTTTCTTTCATTTTTCAAATGTAATGTAAATGTAATGATTATCATTGTCTACTGTATAAATGGCGGTTTTTGTGGTAGCAAGGTGGCGATTTAAGAAACGGCAGGACGAATAAATCGCCCGTAACATGACTCTTTTTCACGTTAACGTTATCTTCATCATAATGGTTGATTGAAAACCATTTCAGGCCTTCTCTGACAACGTGTAACATGTTTTATGGGGGAAAATTTACAGGAAACTGCTTAGTTACCCGTTGTTGTCATTTTCACTAAATAGGCATTTCGAAAACCAGACCCCACGGAACTTCCGTAAACTGTACCAAGATTGCAAGAAAATCATATCATCTCTAAATATTGAAAAACGATGTGTATACCCCAGGTGCATCAAATGGTGCGACAAGATTTGTTGAAAAACTCGCCATCATCAAATCGCATGTGTTTTGGACTTTTTAGTGTTTTCCCTACTTGACGTCATATAGTTTACGGTTGAGTAATTCTGAACACTGATTTTTGTGCATAGTAACTAAATTCCTCATCAGACCAATTTTCCTAATTTTCGCCCATGCAGTCAATAAGTTTTCGAAAATTATGCTACCCTGCTTTTCTTTTTCCTTTCAGTATATATATATATACAGAACTGGATAGAGAGAGAGAGGGAGAGAAGAGAGAGACAGTAAACAAACAAAAGATGTGCCCCCATATGTCATCTCATATGGCAAATGTAAAATTTCTCTAATATAAGTCAAACTCCACGATCAATGTCAAGGGTCTTGTCACATGGAATACACCTTTGAAATATATAAAATCTCTTAACTTAAACCTTTTAAAATTCATGGCCAATTAAGGTATATGTTTTTTAAATGTAAATGTAGTCAATGAGTCAAAATTATTTGAATACACATGTGCTTGTGTAATATGAAAATCCTAGCTCCAGCCATTTATCAATATGGACAACATGGTCAAGTCTAAAGCTTTTCAAAATTGGGTAAAACTTTTATCAATTTAGTTACTGGCATTTTGAAATGATGTACACTGCTGAAAATGAAATAATGACCATTTCAATGATACTGTATAGGGGGAAAATATTTCTATATTCACGGTGTTAATAAATCAGTGAACACAAGACAGGTTTTATTTGGAAATTTTGACACATGTACGCGAAGATGCAAAAATATAGTCATTCAATCAATTTAATTATCACGCTTAACTAGTAATAAGTTCACACAATGGACAAGTTCACAACGTTTATGTGATAACATGGATGCATATGATTTCGACATTTTGGTTTTAAAAAATCATTCAAACAACTATAGAACTTACTGAAGATGTGGAAGGATATTTCGAGGACCTTTTCCAACATTAACACATTTAATACCGTCCAGTGCTTTTTTCGTTGCATTGTATCGAAGATCTTAGGGATTGTAATAGCATATAGGAAAGACATTTGATGTTTAGAGTCAAGGACTTTCGATAACTGCACTTGTTTTAATTAATCGTCAATTTTTTTAAAATATCAAATCTAATTATTGTATTTAAACCTACCCCGTTGTTCGTGAAATAAAGTCATAACACTGATTATTAATATCGTTTACATGTAGCTATGGTATGGAAAAACGGATATAGACAAGGGAGGTAACTTTTATTTTGTACCAATTTGGATCGTGTCAGATGAGAGAAAAACGTGAAAATTACAACCCGTGAAATTAATCCCCTATACAGTATTTCAAGACTATAGACACAAGACTTAACTGACACATGATGCAAATATAAGTAACTACCAGTTCACACTGGACAAGTTCACAACATGATAATTGAATGATTTCAAATTTACACCACCATTAGGTTGGACATTGATGGCCTACTAGCTGCTCTGCAATTGCATTAACATGTTTAGGGACTTTGAGAATGCCTTAGGATTGGATCAATACGCAGAATGTTGAATGGAAATGGCAGCAATTACCCCGGTATCTAAAAAGACTTCACAAACTAAGAGGATTTCCACCTTCTGTCAATGTAACTACTGTGAAATCACAAATTTTCATGGGGGGTTAATTTCCGTTGTTTTCAAGGTATGAAGAGACCCACAAATTCATGTCCACCACGAAATGTAAAATGTTACATACATAACTACTCAACAATTCTTCATCCACGAATTCAAATCCCCACGAACCAAGAGTTTTTATTCAAACCACGAAAATTTGACCCCACGAAAATATGTGATTTTACAGTAACTTACATCTGTACATGGAAACTTTTACATATCAGACACATAACTTTTTAAAATATGGTAAATGAAGGACCTTTGCTTTCTGAAACATAATGTGTTTCATTTTGATGCTGAGAGCTTGCACTATTTGACTGATTTCACATTTTGTATGTCTGTTGTATCATTTATAGATTTCCCTGATACATGTTTTTTAAAAAAAACAATTTCAGCTTTTTTTAAAATGAATGCATCTTATCAATAATATACAAGATAGAGACACATGTACATGTATATTTTTCATAGACACATTAAAAATGATGAAATGATCCATAATAATTTAAATCATAGAATGAAGTAATTTTACTCAAGAAACTTTGACCAAGAATCTCATATAATTCACTCCAGGAAAATACCTGTTAGTTACATGCACCTGTTTTAAGATTGTTAAATTGGCAAAAAAGGCAGATAACAACTAATAATTCACCAATTTTCTGAAATTATGCGCCTTACATCCTGATAAATCTTGTAATAACAGTATAAAGATAAGAAATAAGCTCTACTTCTAACCTGGCTTGTTTCAATGGTAATGTTCATAGAGGGAATTCTCTTCTGCAGGTATTCCAACAGATCTGGGTGCCTGATATCACTGACGGGAATCAGGTCCTTCTCCACGTCAAAGAAGTCCACGGGGTGTCCTCTCTTTACAAAGTACAGCTCTACCATGTTCTTACGAATCTACAACACACTTAATATATCACAAAGAATATCTTGGACTAAGTTGGAGGTGGATTTAATCACGATAATCAAATAAATCTACATATAACATGTCAAGAATGAGGATGTGTTATTTGCATGTATAAAAAGAGAATCTAATATGGAAAATAATATATGATTTTCATATACAGTGACTGTTGCTTTACATTATGATGCTATTTATAGTAAATCAGTATTTCTGAAAAACAAGTTTATGACCAAGATTCCGTATATTTGTTAGTTATTTTGGGGTATATCTAAGGTCAAGATTATGATTTCACAGCAAACACATTACTACATGAATCTAATATTTGGCACCTCAGCTCAAAACATTCTATTAATTACAGCTTAGAACAAGGTTGCTGATAAAAAAAAATTACCAATATTTTATCTATGCAGACATTTTCCACAGGCAACTTCAAATAGCTGGCAAATGCTTCCTTCAAAGCAGTTTTATTGAGGTATTGAAGAGGAGCACCCATACACTACAAAAGAAGAAAAAAAATCAAATAAATGAAGTTTCCTATCAAAATAATTATTGAAGAGGCCCAAAGACCACAATGCTCACCAGAGTAACATTGCTCTTAATGACTAAAAATTTACTTCTTAACAGACTATATCCAATTAAAATCCTAATTTTAGTAGTTTATTTTTCACTTTTAAACTAATTTCTTCTAACATAGAACTTAGTTCAATATATTCAAATATTTCACCATTAGTTTTTCATAAAAAGCAGATTAAACTTCTGAAAATAGTTCAGACTTTTAAATAAGTCCAGAAACTAGCTGTCATATAAATCGGGTACAGTAAAACTCGTTTAGTACGAACACGGATATAGCGAATTCACAGATATAGCGAAGTTTTTCTAGGTCCCCGGCAAAATTCTTAACAAATCTTTGTAAAATTTTTACGGTTATAACGAACTCTGATATAACGAATTTACGGATATAGCGAACTGATTTTGAGTCCCGTTAAGATTAAATATAATGAAATTTACCTCTTTTATAACGAACTTTCAAAGATCTCAAAATTTGATAGATTGAACTGATTTTATTTTCTTTTAGCTTTTGTATATAAAATTCAATTCATAACAAAACCTTAGTTATCTAAGGTATATTTTGTGATACTTGCTGTTAAACACTTGCTACCGTAACATATTTGGTAGTAATACTTGAAGGAAAACATGCATATTGCGAATTCGCTATATATGGTTATACGAATTCGTTATACGGATATAATGAATTAAGGATATAATGAATTAAATTCACAGGTCCCAACGACTTCGCTATAACCGAGTTTTACTGTACATATTCCATGAATATACATGTATGTGTATTCCTGTTAATTCATATGGTCAATGTGTGTGGGTAAGCAAAATTTTGTTGGTTCCTGGAAACAATTTCATAGAGGATTCAATGAATAAATAAATAGACAAAATAATTGTTCAAGGGGGGTTGTAATTTACATTAGTCCCCAAAGAACAATAACAATTTCACAGTAGCTGTCAAAAGTGAGTGGCAATAGAAAGTTAGAGTTGAGAGAGTTTAATTTGAATAGGACCATCACAAGCTGATCCACATCAGTTTTTTTTTTTTTTTTTTGAAATATCATTCCGAAATACCAAGTAAAACTTCAAGATGGGCTTGGCTGCTCATCCTGAAGGTACTAGAAAGGAACAAACCCAAACACCCCAAATTCATAAATTTTGCAAAGATTAGACAGAAGCAAAATCTTCAACAGCTCAACATTAAAATTTGTCTGCTTGTCTAGTACCAGTTAATTTTTTTATTTATTTAAATACATGTGAATAGTGCTAGGCAGCTGTCCAATATAAGGCCCTGTCTAAGAATGTACGTCAAGTTTAGTAGTGAAAACAAGCAAATTGAAAAAACAGTACAGTATTAAGTGGACTAGGTTGGTTTTCAAGCAATGAGCTCTGATGGTAATTTATGACAGGTAGAAAGGTTTTCATTTTTGGGCTACGCTTAATGCGCACTTTGGCTACTGAATCAAACTTTTCTGCAGCAATTGTCTATCTGTCTCTTACAATCTACACAAAATACAGTGTCCCAATTTTCCTCAACATAATTATTATCTAATCTTCCAGTTGATATCCACTGAAATAAATCTTCCAGCTTCTAATGTTAGTACTGTAGATTCCTCAAGTTCATAATACATATTGATTTATCATCAAGAAAAATAAGTAATATTAATTTGAAGTCATTCGTTGCAAAAAATAAAAATTAACAATTTTCATGGCCTAAAAACTATCATCCAATGTTTTATGACCTCCTCTTAGAACAGAATCAATGTTGTAATTTAAATCAAATGTCAGCTTGGATTCATCTTTAAGATTAGTGGCTTGTACATTCACATCTCTCCTTGGCATTACAATCCCTCCAACACAACCAATTTCTACCACTGACGACAAATTAAACCATTGATTTTGTATCTGGCTAAATATTTTTGTTTCAATGTGGAAGCAATCATCAATGCTACAAAATTTAATTAAGATTGATCAATGCCATTGAGACTTTGGATGTATCTTGCTTTTTTTGCTCTTTCCTCTCTAAATGTTAAATTACATACATTGAATGCTTCCTTGTGAATGAATTTGTTTGTAGAAATACATGTATAGTAATTGTATCTTAATATAACTCTTCTGGTTGACATACCCATTGACAATAAGATCTAGTCATAAGAACAACCCGTCAATTAACAAATCACTGGGATTCATTCAGTCATCTGAATTATTTCACAAGAATCCTTTCCTTCAGAAATTATTATTGTCAACAGTCAGAGGAATGCTCAGTAGAGAGAAAGGAAGCGGGGATTAAAAAGTCCATAGTTTTGTTTACTATATCAAAATCTTGCATTATGGTATGGTTTGATTCAGTTTGTTGAGCTTAAAGTATTTGGACTAGACAAATTGTAGCATTTGTATTTCATAAAGACCAATATATTTCCTTCACAAAAATCAATGAAATTGTATTCTAAATAAGGGGGGGGGGGCATATTGGTAGTTTCCAAAGAAAATTAGTTTAATTTCAAAATAATAGTATATAAACAAAAAACTTAAAAACATTTCAATTTTTTTTCTGTGATCATAATTATTGATTAACCATGATTAAACTAAAAGCATTAACAAAACATTTCATAAAGGAAAACATTTTCCGGTAACTTACATCAGAAAAAAAAACTTTGAATTTAAAGGATATTTTTTTGTAAGTTTTTGAAGAGGGGCAATGCAATGGCCGGATTACATCAGGATTGCAACCGAGGGCCCCTGAAACTAGTGATTCTGACAGTAAACTTGAGTGAAGACATAATTATGTGATCCTTGAAATGCTTGAGGTGATATATACTGTAGTTTCATCAATATTTGTTGAGCACCAATTTTTGAGGATTTTTTGAGGATTTTGTTGTTAAACAGATCCACGAAATTCAATGTTCAGAAGATAATAAGAAATCATGTCACTCATTTGTATATAAAGGCAATGTTTTTGACCACGAATTACATATCCTCGAAAACGTCTGTTTTACAAAATCCAAGAAAATTGATGCTAACGAAAACTCATGAAACAGTATCATTTTTCATTTTTCTTTGTTGAGTGTCCACCTTTAACTTGGAAATTTGTCTTTTTGTCTGGAAGGGGAAAAAACTACAACAAGAGGCCCATGGGCCACATCGCTCACCTAAGAAGCTTTGACCATTCTGTTCTTTACCAGATTTTCCCCTAGTAATACATAATACATCCCCACCCTACCCCACTGATCATAATTTAGACATTTTGAAATCTACACTACCCCAGGATCCTTCCATGTGCACATAAGTTTCAGCTTTTCTGGCCCAGTGGTTCTTGAGAAGAAGATTTTCAAAGATTTTTTCCTATATATTTCTATGTAAAACTTTGATTCCCAATTGTGGCCCCGCCCTTCCCCCGGGGGTCATGTTTTGAACAATTTAGAATCTACACTACCCCAGGATGCTTCCACATAAGTTTCAGCTTTTCTGGCCCAGTGGTTCTTGAGAAGAAGATTTTCAAAGATTTTTCCCATATATTTCTATGTAAAACTTTGATTCCCAATTGTGGCCCCGCCCTTCCCCCGGGGGTCATGATTTTTACAATTTAGAATCTACACTACCCCAGGATGCTTCCACATAAGATTCAGCTTTTCTGGCCCAGTGGTTCTTGAGAAGAAGATTTTTTAATGATCCCACCCTATTTTTTTGTCTTTTCTTGATTATCTCCCCTTGTGAGAGGACTTGGCCCTTTATTTTAACAATTTAAGTTCCCCTTCACCCATGGATGCTTTGTACCAAGTTTGGTCAAAATTTGCCCAGTGGTTCTTGAGAAGAAGTTGAAAATGTGAAAAGTTTACAGGCGGACAGACGGACGGCTCAGGTGAGCTAAAAACCACAACTCAAATTCCTCATCAACATCATGATCAGTAGAGAATTCTGGCATTGTCGCCAAGTTAATTAAGGGGTA